GGGCCCACTCGAGCAAATCGATGATCAACGGGAGGGCCTTTACCTTTACCTTTACCTTTACCTTTACCTTTACCTTTACCTTTACCTTTACCTTTACCTTAAGCTTAGTTGGTTTATGTCACTCTCCCATCAAATTTGTTGTGCTCCTACAAGGATGTCAGAGTTGTGGAATTTGGAGGTGTTGGATGGCCGCATATGAACACCATGTGCTCCGGAAATTCCAAGATTTGCAAACCTGGGCAGGTGGAGGAGTTGACATGGTGGTGAATGTGGGAACTGGGTTTGACTGCTGGGACTTCTGGAAGTGTGGGTTCTCTGCCCCCACTCAGTGGGGACCCCAGAGTCCTCATCCTGAAAACTGGTGTACCTGGAATTCTTGTCGCTTTGGTGTCTCCCCAGAGATTAGTTGAAGCAGTGGAGTTGGGTCTTTGGCATAGCAACAGCTGTGGGGTGTGGGTGCTGGAGCTGAAGCAGGGTGGGGACTTGGCCAGCCCCCCTCCCAGAGAGAGGAGAGGGTGCCCTAGAGTTTTCAGTCAGAAGACCAGTGTACCCGTGATTTTTTGCTGCTTGGTTTGCATCTCTTCTGAACTTCAATTGTGAATGTATAGAGCTGGACCCATGAATGAGTTTACATGTTGGCAGTGGCTATGGAATGTCAGTCCTTTTTTTTTTTCCAAAGATGTTTCCTGGCAGGCATTACTCCAGTGCTCAGGAATCACACCTCGTGGGGCTTGAGGGAACACATGTGGTTGAAACACAGTCAGCAGCATGCAAAGCCAGCAACTTGTCCACTGAACTTTCTCTCCAGCCCCTAAATGCCGAGTCTTTTCAATTGATTCTGAGAATTACACATTACTTTTTTTCCAAGTTCAAACATGGGTGATGTCTTTCCTTATTGGAAATAATGAAACTCTTAAAATAAACAGAGACTCTTAAAATAAAATAGACTCTTAAAAATAAACAGATGGAGAGAAAAGATTGTTATTTTGGGGGAAAACGGAACAAAACTCTCCCAGTGCCTGGCATGAAATTATTGATGATCGTGAACATACTCAAGTTTAGAAGTGAGGAGAAAGAGTTAATCCTTTTAAGCAAGTGCCTAGGGGACACTCTGGGAAATCTGACTGAATGAGTTAGTGCTCGGCCTAAAATTAAACCCTTGGCTCCTTGTCGGGCATACAAACTGTTAGATCACATTTCTTTTCACTGATGGATCCATTTTTTTAATGAATTGAAAAAAGAATCCCTGGTGGTTCCTCTTGTGTGAAGAAAACAAGATAAATATTAGCTGGGAAAGGTCATTTCAGTTTCCAATATGTGGTGAGTTTATTATGATGGGTTCTGATAAATTATACTGTGTATTTTTTTCCAATAATAGAAGGTCATGTTGTGCCCTTGGGTGGACATCAGGACAAACATACTTAATAAAGTTGGAGAATCTGGGAAATGAACATTTTCCAATTTTTTTTTGAACAACTCATATTTATACAGTTATTTGAAGGCATTTCTGTCTTGCTGAGCTAATCATTCAAGCCTTTCTTTTTCTCCTTTTCCTTCCAACTACTCCCTCCTCTACTCCCAAAGCACAGGACCTTCAAATCTATTATCTAAAGTGTTCTCTGAAAAAAAATTCTAATTATCCTTAGGTACATTAAAAAAAATAAGAACAAAATCTCAGTTGTGCTTTGTGGTGGATTTATAATGGGTTCAATAGGATTCTAAAATAATTGGACTATGTTTCAAAGGATCATTTTAGCTTCATCAATATTTCTTCATACACATCATTTTTTCCCCCACAGGGACAGTGTATTAACTTAACACTAAAATGTTAAATTTTATACATTATTTTATTTTTGAAGCAAAATAGATTCTATTGAAAGAAATTTAGAGAAATGTGGGGTAGAGAGGAGAGAGATGAAAGAGAGAGGAGGAAGTGAGAGAAGAGAGAGAAAGGAGAGAGAAGAGAGAGGAGAGAGAGGAGAGAGGAGAGACAGAGAGAAAGAGAGAGAGGAGAGAGATGTTCAAGGGAGAACTTGGTCTTCAGAGGAGTAAAAGCCAGTTTTACTTTGGGATGCATTAAATGATGCTTAGGGCTTACTCCTGATTCTATGCTCAGGGATGACTCCGGATGGGGCCCAGGGATCATATGGTGTGCCGGGGTTTGAACCTGGGTCAGCTTTGTGCAAGGAAAGTCTCTTATCCACTGTCCTATCTCTCTCTCCACTCGTATTTTTTAGAAGATGGTTTTAGAAGCTGGAATGACAGTATAGTGGTAGGGCATTTGTCTTATATGCAGCTCTCCTGGGTTTGATCACTTCTGTTTTCTATGATTTCCCGAGCACACCAGGAGTAATTTTCCAATTTCCATCACCTGAGTGTAGAGCCAGGAGTAAGACCTGAGCACCAGTGGATGTGGCCCACAAACAAAGATGATTTTAGTTGGAATTATCTGAATCTGTCTTATTAGATTTTTATCCCTGAGTTGAAATGTCTTTTTAAGTTCTGGGCATTGAAGGAGGATGTTGAGTATTGTATACATTAGTAAGTGTTCTTTTCATTTTAGTGTGGTGTATTTTATTAGCAGAAATGTTGCCTCCTATCTCCCATTTAATATTTTTCTCAAAACGACCCGACGACCTGGCAGATTGTTCAGCATTCTCTTCCTCAGGTTTATATCACACTAATCTCAGAATTCTTAGCTCCTTGCTCTCTTTCTTACTGTTCCAAGTGGTAGGGAATGTTTGGTAACTCTTGGCAAAGAATCAACTCCAATTTATGTTTTCCTTTTAGAATCAGTAAATCGGGGGAATGAAATCATACATCTTGAATGTTATGTTTTGAATTTTTTTGACATTTAGGGAATATTAACTTTAAAACTGTATTAAAATCACAGTAAGATACTATCTCTTACCTGTTAAAATGTCCATCTTCAAAACAAAAACACGGCGAGACTGTGAGAAGAAGGACCCCTTCAGCACTGCTGGTGGGGATGTAAATTAGTGCAGATACTTTGGAAATCAGTATGGAGGGTGCTGAAAAGATTAAAAATAGAACTACCATATGATCCACAGCTCTACTTCTGGGAATGTATCCAAAGGCAACAAAACTGTAACTCACAAAGATAGATCCCCTCCCATGTTTATTGCAGTATTCTTTTTTAAATGGACAAGACATGGAAACCACACACATATATGGTGTGTATATACATACATATACAAAATGGAGGATTTTTAGACTTAAAAAAGGAGAAAGTCTTACCGTTTGTAAGGACAGAGATGAAACTTGAGGTATTATGCAAAGTGAAATAAAACAGGGAAACACAAATACAGTGCAGCCTCATTTTTATGTGAAATTTAAAAAAAGGAGAAAATTCAGAATATGATAACAGAGATATGGTTACAAGGCAGAGGGTAGTTAAAAGGAGGATTGGAGGAAGGTAGTTAAAAGGTACAAACCTGGGGCTGGATCAATAGTCCAGAAAGTACTTGCCTTGTATGCAACTGCAGTGACCAGGATCTTGCTTTGAGTCCCTGGCATCCTTATGGTCCCCTGAGCACCACCAGTGGTCACTCCTGAGCACGGACCCAGGAGTAGCTCATAAGCTCTGCCTGACCCCTCACTTCTGCTCAAATAAATAAAGGTATAAATTTTCTGTTATAAGAAAAATTCCTGGAATATGTATACATGTGATATTTATAACTAACACTGTTGGATGAGAGATAAAGCTGTTAGGAGAGTAATGATCCTGAGTTTTCTCATCATGGGTTCAACTAAAATGTAGAAAATAATAAGACAACTGTCGTGGTCAACCCTTTACCCCCCCATCCACACACACACACACACACACACACACAAAGAAAAAGAAAAAGAAAAAGAAAAGAAAAACCGAAGTCTTTCTTTTTTTTAACCGAAGTCTTAGATAAAGTGAAACTGTGGTGGTTACTGGAGGGGAAAGGGTGTGTGTGAGAAATGGGTATATGGTGGTTTGAAAGGTGGGTTGGCACTGGAATTTTGGTAGTGGGTGTAGTGAGTCCTGTCCATGTAGCACTCTAGCACTGTCCTCCCATTGTTCATCGATTTGCTCAAGCGGGCACCAGTAACGTCTCCATTATGAGACTTGTTACTGTTTTTGGCATATTTGAAAACCTCACGGTTAGTGTGCCAGGCTTTGCCGTGTGGATGCGATACTCTTGGTAGCTTGCCGGGTTCTCCGAGAGGGGCAGAGGGATCGAACTGGGGTCGGCCCGGGTCAGCTGTGTGCAAGGCACGCGCCCTACTTCTGTGCTATAGCTCCAGCCCCCTATCCATGTTTAGAGGGGTTATTCTAGATTGCTAAAGTCTATAGCATTGTTAACCAGTGGAGAGTTACACAGCGTGTGGGAGGCTAAAAGAACACATAAAGATTCTGACCACAAGAATTTTTTTCTTTTGTCCTATGTTTTTCTTATTGTAATATTATATGAGAAAACAAATATTAGCTGAATCTTTGCAATATTTTACGATTCGTTTATATGAAACCATCATACTGTGTGCCTTAAAAATGTGTAGTTTGCAGCTGGAGCGACAGCATAGCGGGTAGGGCGCTTGCCTTGCACACAGCAGGTCCGGGTCCGATCCCCAGCATCCCATATGGTCCCCTGAGCACTGCCAGGAGTAACTCCAGAGTGCAGACCAGGAGTAGCCCCTGTGCATTGCTGGGTGTGATCCAGAAAGCAAAAATAAAATGTGCAGTTCTAGACATGTCACTTATTTCTAATAAAGATGGAACTTCCATTAATATACAAAATACATAGTATATTATATAACAAGTTAATAGATATAGCATTCTTTATATTCCTCCTCAAGTTTTAGGGACATATGTAAATATGGATATACTTGGCTATTTTCCACTCACTAAAACTACAGAAATGTTATAGAAAAAAACATTATTTTGTGGTAGGAAAATGGTCTCATTTCAATATTAAAAGGCTGATGATCTCCTCTTTTTTTTTTCCTTATAGGTCTTCCAAGCTAATTTTTTGGAACTGCAGAAATGGTTGATTCTAGCCACAAACAGGAATTTGTAGTTGTTCTGAACTATACCCTGGATTAATTGTGTTTGATTGGAACCAAAGCTTAAGACATCTCCAAGGTAAGAGATTTAAGATGTCTCCAAGGTAAGAGATTTTATCTTTACCAATAATCAAGAACTTGGCCAAAATAAGTATCCTAATTTTAATGATCTTTTGTAAAAGATTTTTTGATACATAGAAAATTTTGGAACTTAGGAAATCATAGTATTTTTGTTTTGCTTTGCTTGAATATCTTAATTTTTTAAAAAATTGAATCACCATGAGAAACACATTTACAAAGTTGTTCATGATTGGGTTTCAGTCATACAATGTTCCAACACCTGTCCCTTCACCAGCATACATTTCCCACCACTAATGTCCCCAGTTACCCTTCCCACAACCGCCCTCCCTCCCCCTTCTCCCTCTTCTCTATGGCAGACACTTTCTTCTCTCTATCTAGTCATCTGTTCTCAGGCACTCAGTTTGTTTCCAGATTCTGGCTATTGCAAATAGTGCAAATGATGCTTCTCCTGTTTTTTTGGCACTCGGAGTGTGATATTGCTGGGTCAAATGGGAGCTCAATTTCTGGCAGACCAGAGAGATTTAGTTCTGATAAGTCATTAGTCCCTCTCTCACCCAAACTTGTCTGGATGATTTCTGTGAATTTAGAGAGGATAGTTACTTTTGGTTTTGCTTGGGGGCCACGTCAGGTTGTGCCCAGGGCTTACTCCTGGCTCTGTGCTCAGGGATCACTCCTGGAAGCCTCGGGGGACCAGATGGGGTGCCAGGGATGGAAAGTAAAAATGGCATAAGTCACAACATTTGGGTCCTGGGAAGCTCCATTCTGAAATGAAAATTGGTGACCAGAAGTCAATAATTATTAGGGAGCATCCTTGTGAGCATCTCTTTGAAACCAAGGGAGAAAGAAGAAAAAGAATAGAGTAAAGAAGGCAGATCAGAGGATCAGGGCTTTCATCACTATGCATCCTCAGGTGGAATATTGTCTCATGCAATACTCATGTGCTTAGTGGGGCTGTATGAATCATCCCTAAGAGAAAACCTTCCTCTGAGATTTTAAGAAAACCATCCTCAAAATGCTATGGAAAGAGGTCTGAAATGGGAGCCCTGTCCCTGTTTCATCCCGAGATCTGTTCTTTCCCTTCCCCTAGTTGGTTCCTGCAGGTTGCATTGTCTGCTCTCCTGAGCCACCAGGGTGCTATCTATACACAACCAACTGGAGCCACGGGATGGAGCCCTGAGTGTGGAGACAAGTGGCCAGGATACAGGGAAGCGTCATTCATCCTCCACAGGCCAGTTAGTTTCTAACTGAAGAGCCCACAGAGTTCCAGTTCCCACTGAAGGTTTGTTGCCTTCAAGCTGGAAATCAAAACTTCCTTCTCTATCCTGTCTACCTGAGATGGTTACAGCTTACTGAGGTGGCCCATCTCTGGGTGGCCTCTCTAACTGTGTCTTGTCCTCTCTGACTCTCCATCATATGTATAGCAGTTCCCTGAATTCAATTCCCTCAGTTCCACATTATCAGAATATTCTCTGTTTTCTGGTTGAATTCCAGCAACAAACCCCAAATCAAAAGCCCCAAGGGTACTTATTGCAAATCTCAGGAGACAATCACTGATCCATATTCTTACCCAGGACTTTTGTGTCAGGTAACTGGGTGAGCAGTAACACGTTCCAAGTACCTATAAATATCAACTTAACTGTAGTTCTGTAGCACTGTCCTCCCATTGTTCATCAATTTGCTCAAGCAAGCCAGTAACGTCTCCATTGTGGGACTTGTTACTGTGTTTGGCATATCGAATACGTCACGGGTAGCTTGCCAGGCTTTGCTGTGCGGGCAAGATACTCTCGGTAGCTTGCCAGGCTTTCCGAGAGGGGCAGAGGAATTGAATTCGGGTTGGCCAGGTCAGCTGCTTGGAAGGCAAATGCCCTACCACTGTGCTATTTCTCCAGCCCTTAACAATAGTTACAATTCAGACACATTCTCAAACAATTTCCATGAGGCAAATATCACCATGATATCAAAAGCATACAGAGACATCATTAAAAAAAAAGAGATTTTACAGGCTACTATCCCTGATAAACGTAGATGCAAAGATCCTCAACAAAATACTAGGAAACAGAATTCAACAACTCATTTAAAAGACCATATACCATGACCAAGCAGGATTATCCCAGGGATGCAAGAACAGATTAATATTCACAAGTCAGTCAACATAATACACCATATTCACGGTCACGATCATGGTCCTCCCGTTGTTCATGGATTTGCTCGAGCGGGCCCAGTAACATCTCCATCATGAGACTTGTTGTTACTGTGTTTGGCATATCGAATACATCACGGGTGGCTTGCCAGGCTCTGCCGTGCGGGCGAGATACTCTCGGTAGCTTGCTGGGCTCTCCGAGAGGGCAGAGGAATAGAACTTGGGTCGGCCATATTGGCTGCTTGTAAGGCAAATGCCCTACCGCTGTGCTGTTGCTCCAGCCAGCCCCAGAACTACGAGGTGTGGTCCCCAAATATTGCCTCCCTCAAAAAATTTAATTTTCCATAATGAACTTTGAGACTAAACTATGTTTTTAGATATTGAGACTAACTTGTGTTTGTGGACAAACCAATTTTCTTCTTTCTCATTGCTGAGTAGTATTTCATTCTGTGTGCAATTGTGTGAGGCTTTAACTGTTCATCAATTGACAGGTGAGGTTTAATTAGTTTTCTCTTCAGTTATATGTAACTGTGTTCCCACTAAACTTTAGGTTGCTTTCATAAAGTATGAGCTCAGTCTTCTAAGCCACATGTCCTTAATATACTGTTTAGGAAAAAGTTTTTGAACCAGCATGTAAAATTTCTGTCATCTCTTTGAGAAGTAGAAAGAACGTATCTTTTACTGGGTCCAGCTCAAAGTATGTAGTTAAGAAAGAATTCCTAACACAAAAATATGTATATGTTCTATCAGGGCAACTCAAGCTATGCCTTTGGGATCCATAAATAAATATCTCACCATAAATAAACAAGATAGCATGTTGCTATCTTGGCAAACTCTTAATTACAAAAGGTGTTTATTGAAAATTGAATTAATGCATAATGCAAATAAGGTTTGATAGGCCTGCGGTTTCCCTGGAGGAAAGAACTCTGGCGTTCACCCTCCCCACTGCCTTCCCCGCCTTCTCAGGGTCAGTTTGCTGCAGAGTCTCACTCCTGTCCACCCTCCCTGACTCTCGTTCTGTTTCCTGTCCAGGATGAAAGTCTATGCTAAGTCTGTGTTGCTGTCACACTGGCTCTTTCTGGCCTATGTGTTGATGGTGTGCTGTAAGCTGATGTCCGCCTCGAGCCAGCACCTCCGGGGACACCCAGGTAAGTCCTCTTAGCTTATTATGCACCGCTGAGATCAATTAATAAAGCCCTTTCAAACGTCAGAGGGCATGGTAATTGACACGAGCCTTTGACAATGTGTAAATAACCAGAAGAAGCATAGAATTCATCAGTGTAAAGCTGCTTAATGATTTGCTACTTAGAGTGCTGTTCTGTGATTCTTTTTTATTTCACACTTCCTCTTCCCATTATGAGTATCTTTCCATTTTTCCCTACTTTTTTGGATTTTGGAGCTTTGGGACCACTCCTGGCTCTGTGCTTAGGGATCACTCCTGGTGGTGCATACAGGGGACCATTTGCAGGTTGGGGATTGAACTGGGTTCAACCACATACAAGGCAAGTATTTTAAGCCTGGTGTTCTCCCTCCGACCCTATTTTCCCTTTTACAGTGATTTTTTTTTCTCAGGAATTCTGGAAAACTAGCAGCACTTTGTTCTTTGTATACGTATATTCATCTGCGGCATGTTACGTTGAAGGCAGAGCATCTATAATAATAAATCAACATAGAACTTTATTGATGGGAACTTGGTAGATGATTTAAGACCCTCTAAGTGGTGTAAAGAAAAGCTGATGGATGATTAAAAAAAAGAAGAAAGAAAAAATGTGTTGCTAACTTTTTCAAAGGAATTATAATTTGTCTTTGAGACTTTTTGTCTCCAAAGAGTTTTGGAGAATTATTATGTAATTTCTAGAGACTGATGCCTGTATTTTACTTCTGCCTAAAAAAGGATAAAAATGATCAGCTATTTGTGTATGCATATTATATGTGTGAATGCATGTGTGTGAGCATGTTCTCCTTCCCCATCCTTGTTATATCTACATTGAAAATGACACATGGCTGGAAACTCCCCAGTAAAGTGTGTTTTTATGAATAATTCATATTTGTAAGCAGACTTGTTGCTGAACAATTAATTTACCTTCCCTTCCTGCTGGTAATTTGAGTGATGCCAGGAATGCTTTGAATTCTTGGTAAAAGAGTGTAGCTTGCACCTTAAACCATTTCTGTGTCAGACTATAAATTCTTTGTCTAAAAGATCTTATGCATGGAGAATTGTTTCCAGATTTCCTTACCCTCAACTACAGAGCAGGCTGTGATTTTTACTCTGATATTCTTATATTTTAAGGGTAAGACATCCCTTTAGTTTTAGATGAGTTTTACAATTATACAACCTAATTTTTCTTTCTCCAGTGCAAGTTTCAGAAATGTTCACAAATAATAAAAATGTTAATAAATCAGCATTAAACCAGTATTATTTGGTTACTGCCAAGTGCCTGCAGCTTGTTGATTATTGTGATGTGTGTCTTTTGATGAGCATTTTCCTAAAAACAGATGTTTGCAGTCACTAGTCCTACCTGTTTAATATAAATCGATTTTCTTGGGCGAAGCTTGAGACTTGGTGGTAAACAGGCAGAACAGTTTGGTGGTTTGCACTCTCACCACAGATTTGCACATTTCCAAGAACTGGACTCAAAAGATTGTGTCACAAAGTGATCGAGATTTATAGGGGACAGAGAACTTGACCAAATCTAACCTTATCTATGTGACAATACTTATTTCATGCCATGATCCTTTAAATTTGGAAATATAGAACTGTTTGGATAGATCTAAATTAGGAGTAGAAATTCTATATGCAAGAAATGTGGACAGTGTCTTCTGTATAAACAAACTCAGAAGCAATGGGGCTGATGAGCAAGTTTGAAAGGTCTAATTAAAGAAATTGCTCGAGCCGGCCCAGTAACGTCTCCATTGGAGACTTTGTTGTTACTGTGTTTGGCATATCAAATACGTCACGGGGAGCTTGCCAGGCTCTGCCGTGCGGGCGAGATACTCTGGGTAGCTTGCCGGGATCTCCGAGAGGGGCGGAGGAATCGAACTCGGGTCGGCCATGTTGGCTGCGTGCAAGGCAAATGCCCTACCACTCTGCTATCGCTCCAAAATCCTAGAATTTCTCGATTTTAGAACTTGAATTTTCAGCACATATTCTCTGTGTTTTGGGCTTTTCTTTGGTTTGGGAAAGATTATTTTTATCTTTGCAATTTATTTATTTTTTTGCAGACTGACACCAGACTGTGCTCAGGTCTTACTCCTGGCTCTGTGCTCAGGCATCACTCCTGGCAGTGCTAGGGAGTCTATATATAATGGTGGATTTTTGAGTCCGGATCACATCTGAGGCAAGTGCCTTACTGCTGTTCTGTCTCTCTGGCCCCTATCTTTGGAAATTAAATTCCTCACAGCCTACCTCTGAAAGTCAAAGGAGTCTGGAGTGGTTCCTGCCTGCAGGGGCCTCTCTTCTTTCTCCTCCTTAGGGGCCATCATAATAAGATCAGCTAACAGTGTGTCTTCCAGAGTGATTGCTCCTGGGTCCTAGGGCCATTCCTAACTCTCTTAGAGGTCTCATAAGCAGGAATAAAATGGGTGCTATCAATTTAGTATTTTTTGTTACCATATGATAGATTGTGTGTTTTTCTGCTGTAGTAAAAATCCCAAACAATATAGGCAGGAGTGAAAGATAACTTTTATTTTTTTACTTTTTGGGTCACATCCGGCATTGCACAGGGGCTACTCCTGTCTCCTGCACTGAGGAATTACTCCTGGTGGTCCTTAGGGGACCATATGGGATGCTGGGAATCAAACTTGGGTTGGCCGCGTGCAAGGCCAACGCCCTATTCGCTGTGCTATTGCTCCAGCCCTGAAACATAACTTCTTAAACTGCTTATTATTGAGTATCAGACTTCGCCTGAGAAACAGTAGTATATACAGATCTATATATTTCCTATTCATGATTGGTTTATTGTGTATTTCTGTACATTATGGGATATACACTTTTGCCATTCATTATAAGCAATCGGCCCACACCATTGTGAGGATGAGATGTCTCTTGATCAAGCAGAAGATAAGGTGAGATCCAGTAGAGTGGTTTGAAGGCGAAGGCTGATGGTATTGATTCTGTTTTGTGTCTGAAGGTCTAAGAAGCGGGCACGCAGAAGGCAGGAGATTGGTGCTTGAGCTCAGCCTGCTCTACATTGTAGAGGGAATCCACTTCATCCTATCTTCTAATTAAAGTGCTAATTTTCTGGAAACATGCTCATTCTCAAGCACATTTTGAAAAATGTTGAGGCCGAGAGTTGGGTCTTCCCTGATCCAGTCAAGCTGTCATGGAATCAGTCATCATAACTCTCATTCTCAAAACATTGTGTACATCAGTATATAAGCACATACACATGTATAACTATGTACCATGCATATCAAAACATTGATATTCCTCCTCCCATTTATCAATAAAGTTTACAGTTCTTTGATTACTTACCGATCTTTATCTCTCCATGAAATACCGCATCATTATCTATTGCTCAGATATGCTATAAATTATTTGATCACTTCCAGTTTTGGGGGGCATTAAACTTGTTACCATATTTGTCTAGTACATACATTATACCCCAATTCAGTTGAATTCTTAGGAGTGAAATTGCTGAATTAACAGTGCATGAGGCTGGAACAATAGCACAGCGGTAGGGCATCTGCCTTGCAAGAAGCCAGCCCGGCCAGCCAGGTTCGATTCCTCCGCCCCTCTCAGAGAGCCCAGCAAGCTGAGCCTGGCCCGGCAAGCTACTGAGAGTATCTCGCCTACACAGCAAAGCCAGGCAAGCTACCCGTGACGTATTCAATATGCCAAACACAGTAACAACAAGTCTCAAAATGGAGCCATTACTGGGCCCGGGAGGACAGTGTTTGTTTTGTTTTTTGTAAATGATAATAGTTAGAAATTATCACTCTGGACAAGAACTCACTGTTGAAACGCAAAGGATATATATGATAACCTTTCAGTATCGGCATTGCAAAGATAGATAGATAGATAGATAGATAGATAGATAGATAGATAGAGACAGAGAGACAGAGACATAGAGATAGAAACAGAGACACAGGGAGAGACAGAAGAAAAGTGTCTGCTATAGAGGCACGTGGAGGGGGCAGGAGGGAAACGGGACATTGGTGGTGGGAAATGCGCAATGGAGAAGGGACAAGTGTTGGAACATTATATGACTGAAGCCTAGTCATGACAAGCCTGTCTGTCTCTGTCTCTGTCTCTGTCTCTATCTTTGCAATGCCGATACTGAAAGGTTATCATGTATATCCCTTTGCCTTTTGACACCGAGTTCTTGTCCAGAGTGTTCATTTCTAACTATTATCATTTACATGTACTTTTAATTCAGCAATTCCACTCCTAAGAATTCAACATGAATAACTTTGTAATGGTGTGATTTAATAATAAAAAATTGCGTGTAAATGTATCATTAAGGAAAGCAGGCCAGTTCCCCTAATAATAGACCAAATATGCATAAAGATTCGGCAGTGTATTTGCCGCTCATGAGTCGTAGGTAGGTAAATATGTCCTCAGCCCCTCTCTCCTGCACCCCAGTGTATTACAGTGGATGGAAATGCCAACATTTCCAGCTCATGACGTCTGTGGTTAACCTGGAGTGGTCCTCATTGCAGTCAGGTGGCAGGGAAGCTGGACATGGAAGTACCGGCGTGACAGCTGGAATGGCCTGGGTGTGGCTGTCCTGGGCCAAGGCCACACTGGTGCAAGAGCAGCCAGGAAACAGGCTTCTAGCAGTGGGCCCAGGAGAAAAGAATAAGAAGTTTGGTGAGTAACCCGCTTTAAATGTGTTAATAGTTCCAGTATTCCCCACAGAATGTGGGGTTAATAGCAACGATAGTGGCATGAGATTGTCGATTCCACATGCCCTCACTGACTATCAAGTTTTACTTTTGTACTTAGTTATGAGGGGCTGGAGCAGTAGCCCAGCTGGTAGGGCATTTGCCTTGCACGCGGCCATCCTGGCCTCGATTCCCCTGCCCTTTTCGGAGAGCCCAGAAAGCTACAGAGAGTATCCTGCCAGCATGGCAGAATCTGGCAAGCTCCCCGTGGTGTATTCGATATGCCAAAAAACAGTAACAAGTCTCACAATGGAGATGTTAC